ATGACTAGAATCCCTCCCTCCTCCACACACACGCGCACACACACACACACAAACACACACACACACACACCACCCCACCCCACCCCCCCCTGCTTTAGCAAGTCCCAGAATTCGATCCGTGGAATACTGCTGAGGAACTGAGGTTTCCCGAAGTGAAGTCACTTGACCAGACACTGCCTGCCACCAGCTGCAGCATCTTTAAAAGGGGAGGGTCATGGTGGCTAACTCATAGACTCACAAGAGGGCTAGATTACTAGTAAATTGCTAACAGCAGTTCCTGGCACATGGTTAGTTCTTAACAAATGTAAGATACTACGAGAAGTGATCCCTGTCTGATTTTGTTCCCTCACTCAACAGCATTTGACAAGCATCTGCTATGTGGCTGCATTCCGGGGGATAGCCTGTGTTCTTAACCACTGTGCTTTATTGCTTCCAGTTCAATGTCAAGGACGCAGTTTTCCTGCTTTGTAGGAAATTACAAGATGAGGTCACCAAAGATCAGGTTATTTGTGGTCCACCAGCATTATGTTTTAAAGTCTTAAAAGTAAGCACCTTGGGCAGGTGGTGTTTAGATACCGAATAAACAGGTCTCGAGATAGGGCTCACTGTGCTGGAGCACAGGGCAAGAAGGGGCGGAGCCACCCGTATGGCTGCTCACACTGAACGGCAAATCTATGAACAGCGTGATGCTCCTTAGCTTGGGAAGCGAAGTTTTCCTCAATGTGTACTTGACTACAGGTTTCATTTACATTTAGTAAATAATTTGCCTTTGAACAAAATCAAATAGTTAAGTTGGTAGAGGTCTTGCTTTTTAAAGCAAAGTAAATTGAGAAGAACAACATCTTTCTCCTAAAGCTGTATGGAATAAGGAATTTGAAATAGTATAAAATATGAGATAAGAACTATATATATATATATATATATATATATATTTTTTTTTTTTTTTTAAAAGGCTGTGGCTTTAAATGAATATGACCTTATCATCTGAGTAATAATCAGGTATCTGACCAAACAGGTTTACAGGGTTGGGGCTGCCGCCTTCCCACTAGGTTGCCATTTCTAACTTTGTAATATTTCATTAGCATCATTCACGGGCTGTGTTCAGCGTAATATGGCCAGGTAAGGCCACCCAGGATTGCTGTTTCATATTTCTGGGCTTTGCTGAGTCATGGCAGTACAGCCTTCTGAACCAGGGACTGGTAAGAATAGACGCAGGAGAAGACCACCGAGCGCTGAAGCAGACAGCCCTGGGAGCTCAGGCGTGTGTCCGCCGCGCTGCTGTAGTCAGCGGTGTGACCCTGCGCAAGTCACGGCCTCCCAGGACCCTGGGCTTCTCGTGCAGAAAATAATGTTTCTAGGGTCTCTTGCTGAAGTTCAGTCAACTTCGGAGTTTAATATCCGCTGAGATAAGAGATAAGCACTTCCAGGGGACAGTGCCTCGTGATTTGTGTAATTATAGCAGTTTTGTCGACTGTTGGAAAACAGCAGTGACAGATGAGTGAACCTGGCACGTAGCTATTGAGAGCAGTGATGCTTTCATTGTTTAAAAAAAAAAAAAAGACCTGGCTGCAGCATACATTTAGGTGCCAGTCGTCACGGTGATGCCAGGTTCCAGAAATAGCAACGAGGCTCTTGTACAGAGGACAGTCTGGAGACAGTTGTCACGAACTGGTGTTCCCAGCCGCACCTCCACTTCAGCGGTCCCTAGGGAAGATGCTCACGCGGGAGACCGTGGGGGTGACGGCCCCATCAGCAAGCAGTCCACCCGCACATGGTGCGTGGGATGTCACTACCGTGACTGAGAAGAGCAGGCGGTGTTTCTGAACCTCCTCCTCCTGCCTGGTGGTGTCCCCGAGGACGGATGTAGAAGGGAAACTGCAGTCGAATGCATGTGCGTGTGTGGGCTCCAGCTGCAAACCCCTGGCTGAAGCACGGCTTCTCTAGACACAGGTGATCTCACGTACCATCCTTCATCCTGCCTCTGGGCCCCGTCTCACTCTTCAGTGGCCAGAGAAGCAGAGAGGGGATTCCCCTTTCTGGAGGGCCTGGACCTGAGCCTGCCTGCCTGTCAACCCTGTGCCCCCTCCCCCCACCGCCCAGCTTGGCCTGACACAGCAGGTGTGAGTCCCCACGTGGAAGAGGAGGAGGTTGGGTTGGGGGTCCCCAGGCAGGGTTCATTCTGAATCCCAGCTGTGCCACTTCCTGGCTGTGGGACATGGGGTGAGTTATTTAGCTTAAGTCACAGGTGTGGTAATATTAATAGCCATCATGCAGGTAGCTCCGTTGTGTCTTCAAGAACTATATTTTGTTCTTAAACCGTATGAAAAGTCCTCCTCCTCAGAGGGAGTGAAGACCTTGAACTCACCTTCCCCCACCCTGCCATCCTCCAGAGGACCCAAACATCAAAGGCAGATTTGACCCCACAGAGACGGGCAAGGATCCCTGCCTTCCCACACATGCCCCCAGGACAAAGATTTCCAAACTCTGTAAGCAATCACCTACTTTTTAAAAAAGTTACACAAAACTGTAATATGTAAAATGAATAAGGGTAGGCTTTTGTTTCTAAAAATATGGCCAAGTTACAGTTTATAATAAATCCAATCAGAGTGATGAAGCAGTTTTGATGAATATTGAAATTTGAAATAGGATAGATAATAGATGATATGGGTCTCTTCCCTTGAACATAGGTAAGGACAGTTGTATCTCAGTATCCGTGGGGGTTGGCTCCAGGACCCCAGCAAACACAAATCTGTGGGTGCTCCAGTCCCTTCTTACATGCAGTGGTGTAGAACAGGCACACAGTTGGCCCTCCACATCCTCAGATTCCCAACCATGTGTTGAAAATACCATTTTCAATCCAAGTTTGGTTGAATCCAGGTGGTAAAACTCATGGAGGGGGTGGGGATGCGGGGTGCAGGGTCCAGGGGACTAGAATTCCGTCACAGCTCTCCTTTCCATCAGGTGACACTGGTCAATGAAAGGAGAGGGAGAAGGCCTAACGCCAAGGCTGCCCAAAATATAGAAACTGGCACATATTTGTTCACATGTAACAGATGGGAATGAACTTTTAAATTACTGCCTTTTCTCCAAAATGCATGTATTTAAAAAAGAAAGAAAGAAATTTAAAGTAGATGTTAAAATGTATGAAATGCCCCCATGGAACCCCAAGGTGTGGCCGGAGGGAGCTTGAACCACAGCACGCCGTGCGGCGGCTCTCCGTTTCCTGTTCATTTGCGGCGTGGTATGTGTTGGCTTATGGAGGGCTATAATTTTCCAAGCTAAAGACCATGTTATATAAAATATGGTGGAATTTGAATGAGATCTGCAGTCTGGTTGACCATTATGTCAATGTCACCCAACAGCTTGTTTTGGTATTTTACTGTAACTACGTAAAATGTTACCATTGGAGAAAATTGGGTGATGGGTACATCTGTATAGTACTTTTTATTTTTTTAATAGTTTTTTGTTTGTTTGTTTCTTTGTTTTTTAATCCTCACCCAAGGACACTTTTCCATTTTTTGTTCAGATAGAGTGGGAAGGAGAGAGAGAGAGAAACATCGACGTGAAGGGACACATCGAGTGGCTGCCACCCGCACGACCAACCAGGGCCGGGGACAAACTGCAACCGAGGCACGTGCCCTTAGTGGGAACCAAACCCAGGTCTCTCTGGACCACAGGCCGGCGCTCTAACCGCTGAGCAAAACCGGTCGGGGCTGTTTGTTTGTTTGTTTTTTTTAATTGATTTTTAGAGAGAGGGGACAGGAGAGGGAGAGAGAGAGAGAAAACTATGTGAGAGAGAAACATCGACGGGCTGCCCCCTACTGGGGATCGAGCCCACAAACCGGGCACGTGCCCTGCCCAGGAATCCAGACCTCTTGGTGCCTGGGACGATGCCCAACCAACTGCCCCACACCAGCCAGGGCTATATAGTACTGCTTTTGTGATTTTCTCTGCATCTATAATTATTTCAGAATTTAAACACATAAAAGAAGTCATTTGAAAATAGTTGTCTATACTTATTGGGAGAGAGGACCACCAGATTAATGGAGTGGTGTAAACACCACACTTGTAGAGGGGGTTTCCATTTACCTTACCTTAAAAAACAGCATCTTTTCTTCCCTTGTCACTAAGTTCCATGTCCTCACGCTCACTCTGTCCCTGACTTTGACACTGTCGAAGTTTTGGAAAGAAACCATACCAGTGGCACATCAAGGAGAGCTCTTTCGGGAAATCTAATTTAGCTGCTGCTTAATTACTTAATAAGAAAATGGTGCTGAAACCCAAGCGCTCAGTCTGCAGTCACCTGATACAGAAAAGGGTTTATGGATAATGTGTTTTTTGGAAGCATTCCTGTGCTTGAAACATTTAGTAATTAGGCCAAAGCAATGTCAACATGCCGTGATCTCATAATGTGGCCACGGTGAAAATCGAGTGTCCTAAAGCCTGTTGTGCCGAAACACTGTGACAAGTATTCTACTGGGGCAAAGGTGAAGCGTTAAAGGTAGTTTAGAAAGTAAACCTTTGACCCTTTCACTTCTCTGTGTGAAGGGAAGGTGGGCATGGCAGTAGTGAGCTGTGGTTCTCTGTTCCCTGGGAGTTTGCAGCGTACTGTAAATCACTGCCTTGTTCTTGGGTAAGATTGATGGTGGTTTTGTTCTTTATCACTTGGAGACACGCAACAGAATTCCCTGGGCCAGCAGATCTGTCTTCCTTGTTTTTGCCAAAGAAGTGATTATCTTGTCTGCTTTGGCTGTAATGGATTGATGGGGTTGAGCACATCTGTCAGACACCCATGCAGGTGAGCTGAGCCCAGGACAGCGCTTCAGTGAATGTGTTCATGTGTGCTAATATAATTCCTTTTTAAAAAAAATCAGTGTGCTCAGGAACAACCAAGGTTCTTTGCATTAAGTGGGGTGTTCATTTTGCGCCAGGTGTGGAGATGAAGCTCTCGGCTTTCCGGAAATCATTCTGTCTGACCAGCTCTCTGGCTCCTTCCCCAGGGTCATCAATGCCGGGAAGAGTACACACAACGAAGACCAAGCCAGCTGCGAGGTGCTCACTGTGAAGAAGAAAGCAGGGGCCATTGCCTCCACCCCCAACAGGAACTCCACCAAGAGACGGTCCTCCCTGCCCAACGGGGAGGGGCTGCAACTGAAGGAGAACGCGGTAAGACCATCCTTCATCCCGGTTCTCGGGCGAGGGGCATGCACACCCCAGCCCCACTGCGAGATGTTCAAGCCGAGTCCGGTCTGCCATGGGAGGGGGAGAAGCAAGACCCCCGCCGCTGGTGGACTGCCAGTCTCTGTTCGGGCTGTCAGTCACAGCTAAAGGTGGCCTATGGATGAAGAACGGTGTTTAGGGTTTTAACCTGTAAAGTAAAAAAAAAACAACAAAAAAACAACCCAGATCATATATAGATTCTCTTGCAAGAATTAGGATATAGAATGCTTGATGGTTTTACGGTAGCCACTACAAGGCATTTGTGAAGGCGCTGTGTTGGCAGCTGCTCACAAGGGGGGAATAACTGTCGGCATTGGTGTACCCTGCTGTGACTTTGCCCCTCTCCTCCCCATTCCCGCCCATTGGAGTTGTCCGGCAGGGGCCTGTGTCTGACACTATTGCAAATTAATATTTGTTTCACTTGGCCCAAAGCCCTTGCCTCCCATGGGGCGGCCCTGCAGACAAACCACACAGCGTGTCTCCTCTCTCCGGTTTCTGGAGGATAAAGCAGGCATCCTCTGAAAATTCAGAAGAAACACTCCAGAAAGGATAGGAATGATGGGCACTGTGTCCATCAGCAGATCACTTAGCCCTGCAGAAAAGAGACATTGAATAGATGACCCCAATGTGACTATTTAGTCTGACACTCTTGAGGATATTTCTGAATATACATTTTTATAGGATTGCAAAGGACCTAGGATTTGTAGACTAAGAAATAGTGTTGCATTGCATTTATGTTTAGGGAATAAGAGGACTGGTTTATTTTGATGGTATTAATTCAGCTCAGAGTTAGACAACAGTGGCCCATGAACACGTATCCGTTGTGCTGGTTTTCAAGGCTGAAGGAAGCATGGATTAGACGTCCCCCAAAGTCAGAGGGCAGCAGAGGGTAGTAGTGGCTAAGTGCCCTGCTCTGGAGGGAGGCGCTTGGTGCAGTCCACCCCTTACCAAGTTATTTAATTCGGGGACAGTTATTTAGTCTTTGCACCTCAGCATTCTCATCTGTAAAAAGGGATAATAATGGTGGCAACCACTAAATATGGTTACAGCAGGCTGGTTGGAAGTATAAAATCCAAAAGTTTATAGAAAATGTTAAGCCAGTATCTTAATCAGTCCTTAATAACTATTTGTGGTTATTATCCTGAAGTGAGTCCCACTTATGTCATTCTTCAGGGGTAATGTCCCCCACTCAATTCTGGATGTTTATTTATTTGCTAATTGGAGATCCCACAGTTTCTTTCATTACCTACTTGACAGCTTTTGAGGACTGAGTGACTATGGAAAAGTCTTAGAAAGTGTGCAACATGAACGATAATGGGATACAGGGGCCAGTGACTCACTGTTGCTCTTTCCCTGATAGTTGCCCCGGCCACTGGGATATACACTGGTTTCTGTAAAGATAAGTCAGTGTTGACATTTGGCCCAAGGCCCATGGGTGATGGCATTTTTCCTGCTAAGTTCCTCCAGGAAATGGAGCCAGGACCTCCATTTCCTCCTTAGGAACCGTGAAGTCGGTACACAAGCACTTTGGGATGGAGCCATGACCCTCCTTGGGATGGTCCTGAACCTCTGCGGGGCCTGCGGCCAGGAGGCAGCCAGGAGGGATGAGCAGAGGGATGCTCCCCGGGCCTCCCCCCTCCCTCTCCTGCTTCAGCCGCAGCGACTTCACTCCTGTCTGCCTCCTACATTAGGCTGCTTCTTAGAGTCCAAGGCAAGAGCTGTGCTGCCTTTTTTTTGTTGTGATGTATATTTTCCCAAAATTTACTATTTTAACCATTTTTAGGTGTACAGTTCAGAGTGGCATTGAATGCACTCCTACTGTGCAACCGTCTCCACCAACCACCTCCAGAACTTTCCCTCCCCAAACAGAAACTCTGAACCCATCAAACACTCTCTCTCCCCTTCTCCCGCCCCCATTAGGTTGTCCCTGGCAACCACCATTCTACTTCCTGTCTCTGAATTTGACTACGCTAGGTACCTCAAATAAATGGAATCATACAATGTTTTGAATTTTTATATCTGGTTTATTTCATTTGTCATAATGTCTTTAAGATTCATCCACATGTAGAATATGTCAGAATTTCTTCCTGTTTTTTTTTTTTTAATCCCTAATCGAGGATATGTTTGTTTATCTTTTGAGAGAGAGAGAGAGAGAGAAACACTGATGTGAGAGAAACATTGATCAGTTGCCACCCATTAGCACCCTGGCTGGGAATTGAACCCGAAAACTTTTGGTGTATGGGATGAGGCTCCAGACAGCTGAGCCACCCAGCCAGGGCTTTCCTTTTTAAGGCTGAACAATCCTCCTTTGTAAGTATAGACACCCATTTGTTTGGCCATTCATTCGGCGATGAACACTTGCTTCCAGCTCTTGGCTGTTCTGAGTGACGCTGCTGTGAACGTGGGTGTACAGCTATCCAGTGAAGCCCCTGCTTTCAGTTCTTTGGGACGTGTTCCCTGAGTGGACTTGCTGGATGATACAGTCATTTTGTTTAATTTTTTGAGGAACCACCATACTGTGTTCTACATCAGCTGCACCATTTTATATTCTCACCAGCAATACACACGGCTTCCTGCTTCTACACACCTTCACCGGCACTTCATTAATTGTTTCTAAATAGTAGCCATCCCTGCCCTGGCCAGTTGGGCTCAGCGGTTAGAGCGTCGACCTGCGATCCAGAGAGACCCAGGTTCAGTTCCCGCTAAGGGCACGTACCTCGGTTGCAGTTTGTCCTCGGCCCTGGTTGGGTTGAGCGGGTGGCAGCCACTCGATGTGTCCCTTTCACGCCAATGTTTCTCTCCCTCCCTTCCTCCCTCCGTTCCTCCCTCTCTCCCTTCCTCTCTCTTTCTTCCTCTCTCTCCCTCCCACGCTATCTGAACAAAAAATGAAAAAAATGTCCTCTGGTGAAGATTAAAAAAAAAACAAAAGTAGCCATCCCAGTGGGTGTGAAGTGGTACCCCACTGTGGCTTTCTATTTCCTACTGATTAGTGATGTTGAGCATCTATTCATGTGCTAATTGGCCAGCTGTATATCTTCTTTAAAGAAACCAAATTCTCTGCCCAGTTTTAAATTAAATTAGGTTGTCTTTTTTATTGTTGTTGTTTGCCCTGCATTTTAAGAGCTTGGAAAACTATAATCCCGTGTGCTCCAGCAATCACTGAGCACGTGTGTCCTGGAACTAGGTGCGGAGGATTCCGCAGGGAATGCAGCAGACAGAAGTCCCTCCCCACAGGGAGCTTCACTGAGGGAGACAGTGCAAGTACACACTAGAGATCGGCTCTGTGGAGAAAAACCAATTGGGGAAGCAGGAGAATAGGAGGTGTGAGGTGCAAGAGGTGGTTAAAGACGGCATCACCCAGAAGGCGACATTAGGGCAAAGACCCGAAGTGCAGCTGGCGGGAGGAAGAGCAGTCTGACTGACATTCCAGAGAACTGCAGGGACCCCGCCTGCAGTGGGGACGGGCATGGTACTTTAAAGCCCCAGCATAAGGCCGGTGTGGCTGGGGCAGAGGTAGTAAAGCCTGGATCGCAGGCAGTGTGGCCAGAAAGGCACTGAGAGTGGAGCGAGGCCGTCTGGCAGGACCCGAAAGGCCCATCATCAGCACCGTCTTCTTCGCTGCTTGAACAGTGTATTAGCAGAGGATACAGGATGCACTGCTTAAAAGAGGCCAGTGATTTTCTCATCTGGAGGACATCCCTTAACTCCACATGGTGGTGTTTGGAAAGGGGTGATATAGGGGCCCGATAAGGTGGGTGTGCCCCTCCCCACCCATGGATCTGTTTCTCCATTCAGCACACATGTCCCCAGCACTGTCTGCACGCTGGGCTGGGTAAGGAATGACCTCGGGGCCGGTCCGCGGGCTGAGCTGAGGAGGCAGAAAGATCGAGGAGCAGCAGCACTGCGATGGAGAGAGTTTTCGGAGCAAGAGGAAAAGTTGAGGTCGCACGGGAGCCCAGCTCAGGTTGGGCACTGGTGGTTTGGGAAAGGACAGAGGAGAGGGGACCGGTTGGGTTAGGGAGGGCTTCCTGGAGAAAGCGACATTTGAGCTGCCAGCATGCACAGTGAATAGGAATCAAGCAAGTAAAAGAAAGGGGAGTGTCTGGCAGGAACCCGCACGGGGCAGCGCAGAGCGTGGTAAGAGAAACAGCGGGCAGGTTTCACACGTGAGAGCCATCGAGTGGCCGGGTGAGCTGGACTGTGAACCACGTGACTAGACAGGAGCGTAATGGACAGGAAAGGGGCGGCCCTGAGGGGAAGGCTGGGGAGCACACGGGAGGCGGGATACCCAAGTCTGGCTCAAGCAGAAGAATGAGGAAGAAACGACGAAAGCCTGGAACAGGCAGCCGTCAGAACAAGGGGGCGCTCAGGAGAGAGGACGTCAAGCTGCAGTGGAGGTGACCTGAGGCCCGACCGCCTGGGACAGGGAGGGTTTGAAGAGGCCCTGCAGGTGTCAGCCGCTGGGTGCTGGTCCCTGAAGGTGGGCCCCTGGAGCAGGCACGGGTTTAAAGGTGAGGGGCTGGGCAGACTTGACTTGAGCTCTGAGTCTTCTAACTTTCCCGGTGGGAGTGTTTTGTGGGAAGGTAGAAATGCCGGTTTGGAGTCAGGAGCGAGTCCAGGGAGGCTTAGATTTCAGGAGTTGCAAGTCCAGAGAGGTTCCGAGGAGAGAGGGGAGCTGCTAGGAGGGAAGTGCCGATGCCCCGGGCCACAGAGATGTGGGAACAAGGGAGGAAGGCAAGAAGTGGGGTGTGGGACAGAACACCACGTCATCTCATTTGCAATCAGGGTTGACAGGCATGCAGGACGCTGCCCTGGCGTCCAGGACGTGTGCTGAATCTCTCCCTCGTCCCTTGACCTCGTCATCCCCAAGAAACTTAGTAAAGATAAAATAAACATTTACACAGGTTTCTTTCACGTATGTCACCTTCTTAGTGGATATTGAAGAA